ATAACTACAACCCCCAAATCATTTTTTCAATCTCTTAGTTATATATTTTTTTTAAATTCATATAGTATATATTGTATTGTTTTAATTTTTTTAATCCATAATAAATATTAAATTATTTAAATTTTTTATTATGACATACCCATTAGGAAAAAAGTAATATATATATATATATATATATATATATATATATATTAAAATTTTAAAATAATTAAAATATTAATATTTTTGGAGAGCGAAAATTTACCATTGGAACACAAGCTCTACCTAAAATTCGAAGGATTCAAAACGCTGACACCTCGTGAATGACTTTTGAAAAATACTAAGAGCATCTCCAACCATTTTATATATATATATATATATATATATATATATATGTAAATTGATGTGTCATAATAGATTTATATAAAAAAATATATAACTTTTACTTTTACAAGCTTAATTAATATAGGAAAAAAATTTACGCATCAAATATGGCTGTATATATTTTACAAAAAATATATATATATATATATTTTACCATACTAGTAGTGGTGCTTTAGGCTTCCATCTGTTGACACGAATATGTGTTTGCTTAACATTTAGAAGAAGAAAAAAATTGAATCCACTGATTATTTGCAACAAAAGTAATGATATACAAGTTGAACAAATTATGTAATCATTCAATATAGTGACAGGTCATTCCCATACCGTCATACGTTCCCGTCGCATCAACGTAACATCAATTTTTTTTTATTTTTTTTCCTTCTTTTATCAACTATGCTATTTTTGACCACTAGAATTTTTAAAAATATCATTTTCGCACAATCTCATGAAACCAAAGGCTGTGAAGAATTATTGTTTTACCGTTTTGATAGAAATAACAAATATTTTATTTTTATTTTTATTTTTATTATTTTATATCAAACCCCTTACTAAATTGCTTGCCCATTCTTGCACGTGTTACCAATGAAAACCCAATATAGTTGATGGAAGGTGTTAACACCATGGACCCTGTCATGTAAGACCACTCACTAGTGGACCGTCGACCATGACCAGTGAGCAACTATTTACAACTATTGAAAATGCTCTAACTATAAAATGCTTTCGTAATTGCACCAACATCTATCCTTGAACGTTGAGAATGCCACATTTGTGATTGACACAATATTCATCCCTTTAGGCCCAGTTTGTTTGGAGGATGATGAAAGAAAAAGGAAGGAAATTAAAGGATTTGGAAGATTACAATTTAGGCATTATGTATTGATTTTGTTATTTTCTAAAAGTGAGAGGAAATGAGAGGAAAGTAAAGAAAATATTATTTTTAATGAAACTTTTGTTTTTTTTTTTTTTGGTTAAAAAAAAAATTTGTTTAACCAAATATATATATATTTTTTAATGAAACTTTGTTAATAATAATTTTGTTTTTTTATAAAAGAGAAAATTTATAAAATCAGATATGATAATAAATTCATTAAAATAGTTTCGTTTTTTTTTCTTTTTCAAATATGATTACTATCATTTCTTTTCATTTATTTCCTAACAAACATAGCCATATTGGAATCTTCTTTTCTCTTGTAGGAAAAAAATTACTTGTTTGAGAGAGTTAGACATATGATGCACCTCATTTAGGGGTGCACAAAAGAACCGTGGAACCGTGAGAACCAAACTTGAACCGAAATTTCGGTTCCGATTCCAATCTCAATTCTAAATTTAAGAACCGTGGACATACGGTTCCGATTTTGGTTTCGGTTCCAGTTCCAGCCTGTGGGAATCGGTAAGAACCGAAACCATATATATATATATATATATTTAATTTTATACTAAAGAGTAAAATTATACCTGTTTTTTATACCTATATTTTTAATTTTTTTGCCCTAAATCTCAGATCTCTCACTCTCTCCGTCCTTGCTTCCATCTTCCATCTCTATTCTCTCGACTCTAAACTTGCCCTCTCTCCAAGTCTGCAACTATAAGTAACAAAATTTATAAGAATCAAAAGTTCAAAACCCATATCGGCATATCATTTCCAATTGTTCAAAAAATCAAAACCCATATCTTCCGGTTTCCATCACCCACTGTTCCAGTTCGGGTTCGCAAGCTTCAGCTCTCTCAACTCTCAAGCTTGCCCCTCTCTCTCTGTGCAACTGCTAAACTTGCTCTCTCTCTTTGCAACTGTAAACTACAAAATCTACAAGAATCAGAAATTCCAAACCCATATATTTCAGATCTGTCTGCAAGAATCAAAAGTTCAAAACCTATATCGGTAATTCGACATATCATTTCAGATTGTCAAAAAATCAAAACCCATATCTTTCAGTTTCCATCGCCCATTGTTCCAATTCGGGTTCGCAAGCTTCAGCTGCTGTCACTCATGGTTAACGGTTCGATTCAAGTTCGGTTCTAATCTATACGGTTTCGGTTATGTTTTTTAGGGACCGTTGTGAACGGTTTTGATTCCGGTTCCGATCGGAACTGTAAGGAACTAAACCGTGTGCACCCCTAACTTCACTATGTTAAAATTGAATAGAGAAACAAAATATGAAGAATGCAAGGCAAGAATATACTTGGTTCAGCCACTATAACTTACATGCACACAAAGTCCAAAGGATTACATATCTTTTATTAGAATAAAGACAATACTTCCTCCTTTTCCTTGGTAGGATAAGGTTCATCCTCTTAGTTGATGTGACCTAATACAATTTAGACACATATTTAAAATTTTAAATTTCTAAAAATAACTATTACCCATTTTCTTACAGTTTAACATCCTAAAGTTTTTTTTTTTTTTTTTCAAAAGAATACGATTTTTTCTATACCTAAATTGAAAAATTAATAAATTTATTTAAAGAATGTACTGTATCAAATGTTGAATAGGGAAATGTTGAATAGGGAAGGAATAAACACTTAAAATATTATATGAAAATTTAATGTTAATCTATATTTGAATAAAGCTTTTCTTGTAAATTTTTTTATTTCTTAGTCAAAATTAATTTTTCTCGTAGATCTATTTTTTGTCAGAGTTAGATCCATCTTTGGCATCCCTTCTAAGTTCCCAACACCTTCAATTGATAGGGCTAAGGATTGGTTTTATTTATTTATTTATTATTTTTTTCCCCTTTCTCTAGTTGGTGGAAAATATGAAAAAAAAAAAAATTTAAAAATTTGTGAACACTGCAAATTCCGATTGGTGCAATTTTGTGTTATTTATGAGCTTCTATTGATTTGTATATTGTTTTACATATTGAATAAAAGTTGAATGTTTCATGAGTAATGATACTTGCACCAATTTGTTGTAGTAAATTACCTAACCGAATATTTTTTTGAATGGTTATTTATGCACAATACAGTCTTCCAAATTCTTTCTTTCTTTTTGTAGTGTATCAGGTAGGGTTCCGGTTCTAGGGCATAGCAATTACCTTCATTACGTTTATGAGGTGGCAAATCCAGTGGTTATTGGAAAATCCACATCTGCGAAAAGAGTCTTCCTCCTGCGCTTGGACCTTGTTGCAACTAAGATAGAACAACATTCATTTACATCATAGGTTTGTTGTAGTGAATTCACTACATTGTCAGACTTATTTCTTTTAATTGGTCCAATTTGTTGTAGTAAATTCATTGAATTGTTAGACTTATTTATTTTACTTGGTCAATTTATGCGTTAGTAAAGAAGTGGGACCCTCCACTTATATGTATTAATTGTGCATAAATAATTAATGAAAAACATTTGGTTAAGTAATTCATTGCAACAAATTGGTAGAAGTATCATTACTCATGTTTGATTGATGTAGATAGACTAGGATTTCGAATTGAGATTGGGTATAGAGATTTGGGGGAGGAGGGAGGGGGAAGGGAGAGAAGAGAGTCGTGCTAAAATAGAAATTCTAAAAATTTTAAATTGGGAAAGAAAAACAATTGGGTTTGGGATTAAGGGATTCTAAAAATTTTAAATAAGGAAAGAAAAAAAAATGGATAAGATAAAGTTCATCCTCCTATGAGAGGACCCAAGCATTATTCTTATAATAATCTCTGTTTTTATACTGAGAATGGAAAGATATAGATATAGGAAACAACTTTAATACTGAAATATATCTTCAATAAAAAGAAAGAGAATTTTTTCATTGATTCATTCAATAACAAATATAATAGTAAATCTTCAAGAAGAAGATAAATCTTCAACAATAGAAAAGGGTATTAATAATTTTTCTTCATTCATTCCTCAAGTAAATCTTCAACAATTATGCTTCGTTTGGTTGGAGGGATGGAAAAATAAATAGAAGGGATAGGAGAAAGGATGGATGAGGCATTTTTAGGGAATGGAAGGTGACTCTCATTTTTTGTTTGGTTGAATAGAATGGATAGTATAAATGATGGATGGAGTGACACATTTTTTTTGTTGGAAGGAAGAGTTTTTATATTCTTTTTACTAATATGCCCTCAGTATTTAAAAATTCTATATCTATTCCAAATTTTTAGAAAGGTTAGAGATGAAAAATCGATATTTGTGTTGATTATTATTTCTTTCTCTTTCCTCTTTCTCCCAATTTTGGGCGGATAGAGAAATACAAAGGGGGGAGGGATGAAGCATCCCTCCTTGCTTCCTCCCGCTTTTCCCTTCTTTCCAACCAAACACAAAAAAGTTAGTTTATCCCCCTTCTTATCTATCCCTCCTCAATCCTTCCCTCTAACCAAACATAGCATTAGAATTTATTTTATTTTATTTTTGTAAGTTTTTCTCTTCTGTTCAACCCATTTAAATCTTAATTCAACATAATACGTTGAGACACTCATTGTGTGTACGTTTGGTTTTCTTTTTTTCCTTATTGTTTGATTTAATTGTGTTAAATAAAAAAATAATAATTAAACACCGTTACTTCTCAACATCGAACCCTAAGTAACGGTGCGTTGAAGCTAGAAATTCCGACCTTTTTTGTTTGTCCCTCCAACTTTCACGTGATTCTGATTCAGCTGACAGTCCCGACAACTGCTGTGTACTGCTAGTCCTGTGACTCTTGTCACGTACCCCTCTCGACTTTTGTCCACTACCCCACTCTCTCTTCCTATGCAGTCTCCCCAAACCCCCTCAAACACAGATTGAAATGGATAGCTCATGTGTAACCTCTGTTGAAGAGAGTGTGTGTGTGAATGTGTGATAAGCCACCCAGCTGGCTCACCTCAACTCACCACCACCAATTGCATTTTGAATCACATTGCTCTGCTTCTCTTTTAATTAATTTCCACAAAGATGAGAGTAAGCTTGCTTCAAAATGTTCTTCTTCTGCTATACCTATGCAACCTATCTTCTCCTAGTAATACAAACACTACTCATCGAGCATCGGCTGTGAACTTACTGTTACCGTCCGATGCTTCTTCTCTCTTGGAATTCAAGTCTAAAGCCGATCTGACCCACAAACTCTCATTCTCTCCCAACACCAGTTTCGAATTCTGCAAATGGCAAGGACTCAAATGCCAACAAGGCAGAGTGGTCCGACTCGTCCTCGAAGGCTTTAAACTCGGTGGCGTTTTGGCACCCAACACATTGACTCGCCTCGACCAGTTGCGAGCACTGAGTCTGCAGAACAACTCGCTCACCGGACCCATTCCCGATCTCTCCGATCTCGTCAATCTCAAAACCCTATTTCTCGATCACAATCTCTTCTCTGGGTCCATCCCACCTTCAATCTCCACCCTACATCGTCTCCGAATCCTAGATCTCTCCTCCAACAATCTCACCGGTTCCATTCCTCACTCGCTCACCGATCTCGACCGGCTGTACATTCTCCGGCTTAACTTGAACCGGCTCAATGGTTCGGTACCTCCGCTCAATCAGTCCTCTCTCCAAGTCTTCAATGTCTCCGTCAACAACTTAACCGGCGTCGTGCCGGTCACTCCGACTCTGCTACATTTCGGCACGTCGTCGTTTTTATTTAACCCTGGACTCTGCGGCGAGATTATAAGTAAAGAATGCCACCCGAGTTTACCATTTTTCAGTCCTTTTGCGGCGCCACCGCCGCCGCGGGTGGCCAAAACGGAGCAGCTACAGGGGGTCGAGGTTGAGTTGACTCAGCCGAGTCAAAAGATACACAAAAGAACAGCTGTGATTGTTGGGTTTTCGTCAGGGGTTTTTGTACTGATCGGGTCCATCGTCTGCTTTGCAATGGCGGTGAACAAACAGAGGAACAAGAAACGGGTGTCGACGGCGGCGGCAATGGCGTCGGATTCGGCGGCGGCGGCCCACGCCGCCGCCGTGATGAGGATCGAGGAGGAGAACGAGTTGGAAGAGAAGGTGAAGAGAGTGCAGGGGATGGTTGGGAAGAGTGGGAGTTTGGTATTCTGTGCGGGTGAGGCGCAGGTTTATACGCTGGAGCAGCTGATGAGGGCGTCGGCGGAGCTGTTGGGGAGAGGGACAATGGGGACCACGTACAAGGCGGTGCTTGACAACCGTCTGATCGTCTGCGTGAAAAGATTGGACGCTGTTAGATTGGGGGGAACAAGCAGGGAGGTGTTCGAGCGACACATGGAATCAGTGGGTGGGCTCCGGCATCCAAATCTGGTCCCACTTAGGGCTTATTTTCAGGCCCAAGAAGAGAGGCTTCTCGTCTATGATTACCAGCCCAACGGCAGTCTCTCCTCTCTCATTCACGGTACGCTCCTTCTATATATCATCCATTGCTGGTAACTCGTAAATCAGTGAGTCGACTTGGTCTAAACTCGGTATGTTCAATTTGACCACCCTCTGGTCAACAACAAAACTTAGATTAGTATGCTAAAAATGATCATCATCAGGGTTATATGCCACGTCACAGATATGCAAAAAGAGGGATGCTTAACACACGTGCATGTATGTGCGCGTGGATTCAATAGTATAAAAGATTGAATGTCACAATTCACTAGGTGGGACCTCATTGTGTCTGTTATGATCTAAAATTTTACTCCTCCGTACCAGAATTTTTAACGCCCATATAATTCATGTATCAAAAATAGTTACAGTATTAGTTACTCCAATGGTACTACATGTCTTTCGAAACAATTTTCGAGACTGTGTCATGATACCCAAAACTGTAGCGTTTCTACTTGCCTTTCAATTTTACCCGGAGCTACTCCTAACCACTCTTTCTTTCCTTACTCGTAATTTTTTTTCCAAAATAAATCCTTTAATTGACCAACTAGCCCCTTTTTTAAATCCAACTCAGACAATCTTTTTCTTTCACACTGCAAGCATACTCTCATAATTCGCGTTAAATTTGCGGTTCTTGCTTTATGTGTAGTTTATAAATTTCAAAACAGTTCTTTAAGAATTTCAAAAGTAGGAAATTGTTTTTAAAGCATTACTCTGTCCTAAAAAAATGTCATGTGGTCTGTACCAAAATAATTGTCACTTTTCTTTTTCAAACAATATATTTTATATTTTTTCATATATGTTTTGGAGTCTAAAATTTCAAATGAAGGATAAATTTGTAACTTTTCAGAGAGATAAGACATGTCTCACAACGAAAAAACTGTTTTTACGAGTTACAAATCAAGCAAAATCCTAAATTTACATTGTATTCAAACCAAAGTAATTCAACGAAAATTAGAGTTTTTTTTATCTCAGTTGATTTTGTTTTCTTAATTCTCTATTGACAAACATGGACGTTGATGACCATTGAATCCTTCGCAACCATATATCCACCTTGTCTAACTAAATTCCAAATGATGACACATGAATATATATAACCTTAGTTTATGAGATGTGAAATAAAATTTACAAATTTAAATGAAAGACTTCAGAGGTTTTCTCCTTATTTGTTCAACTTGATTTGGATTGAATATTAGTTAATGACACAATTGATGGAGGTATATTAGATTCAAAACCACATCAAGCCCATAATTGAAGATAACTTTCTGAATGATTCATTGTTGGTTCCTATTATCCGTGGCTGTTGTTAGTGGCGATAATATTGACTTGCCGATTAGGACTTGTTGATGAGAAATTGTCGATGAGATTTCTGTAAAAGACTTTTGTTCTTTGAGAGTCTCTAGAGATGAGAAAGGAAAAAGGGATAATTCTTAAAAAAAAAAAAATGGAATTTTAGAGGTTTATTGTCAAAATGACGTAGTCAAAGTCCACTCTTTCCGAAGTGACGGAGTTTTATTGATAGTGTGACCTGAACATAGAAATTTACTGAAGATTGTATTTTGATTCCAAACTGCCCGGTTAAAAATTTACTGCCCAGCTCCAAAACTAAATCATCTAGGTTTTGAGCACACCCAAAATGGGTCATCCATGACTCACCGGAACTGTTCTTTGTACTCTTCACCGGACTAAAGCTGTACTCGTCATTTGAACTGTTGCACGCTGACGCTAAAGCTCGAAGTTTAGCTCTCGGTTCAGTTCGTTAGCATGGGTTTAAGATAGCTCGTAGGTTTGATCATCGTCATCTGAGGATGAAGGTCGTGGAACTCGCCGTTGGTTATGGAGTTCACCGGTGTTATGTCACTGCTTTGGTCACCGGAGTTTTACTGGAGCTTCGCTGTCACCGTTGGAGTTGAGCTTCACTTAGACTTTAAACTGAATTGCATCGGACAGTGTTCGCCATTTTGAAGCTTTGTTTGCCTGAACTGTTTGGCCGGACTGGTTGGCCATGTTTGTAACTTCTCTAGCTGAGTCACGTTTGGATAAGGAAGAGAGCTTCGGTACGTTCATGGTAGCTTGGAGCTTGCTACTGGGTTTGATCGTCACCGCTAGTTGCTCGCCGTTACGTTAGTTCTTCACCACAGGTCTGTCTCGCCGCTATAATTGTGCATTGCGGTCGGCACCAGTCGTTGGTGCAGCTCATCCTTGTTCGTCACTGCCATCCTCATCCTTGTTGGTCAGAAGAAAAAACACACGCTAAGCACAGCTTTGCTCGCCGTCCTCAAAGCTCACCGCTCCTTGAGGCGAGATACATAGGTGTTGTAATTATTTTCCCAAAAGAGAGATGAAGAGAGAGAAAGTAAAGTTGGTAAAGGTGTAATAAGGTTGGGCAATTTGGTAATAAAGATACACTTTCATAAAATTTCACCACTTTGAAAAAGTTGACTTTAACTCCATCATTTTGACAGTAGACTTTCAAAACTCCCATTTTTAGGAATTATACCGAAGCAAAAGAAAAACGCTATACTTTACTAATTGGATTTTGACACTTTTCGTTTGGGATACTAATTCTACAAAATTTTTAGGAATTATCCCAAATCAAAATTCGTGAAGTATAGAATTCAATTTTGACACTTTTTGTTTGGGACACTATTTCTACTAAATTTTTAAATAACTAAAGCTAAAAGTTACAATTTTACCATGAATGAATGACCTCTTTCTCGTAAATAAGAATCATAATTCACTTAAAACTTTTATAATTATATTTTGATTTGGTATTTTTTTTTATTACGGTTAAATTTTAAAGACACAACCAACAAAAAATAGTTGAAAAATATAGGGAGTGTAGAAGGTAATATATATACACACACACATATATACTCTTAGTTTCTTTGACATGTGTCTGCATGGAGCTTGTTTGTTCGGTTACTGCAACATCCCAAAGTTATTGGGTGACTTGGGTCTTTTCTTTAAGCTTCAATTTGGTCACCGATGATGGGGTGGAGTTTTTGGGTTTGGTCACCATTGCCAATGGAGCATGTAGTTAGCAAAGTTCTCTACTCATTCATGGACTATGTAAGCTTGTTGGAATTAGGTCTCTTAAAGGTTGTTGAAGCTCTCCGATGTTTGTTGAAGGACGCGGTTGAGAGAGATTACTCGTGAGTCATCATCGCACAAAACTCCAGAGAACGAACAATGCAAAGACGATGAAGACGATTCATCGTCTTGCCAATCACAGAGTTCGGTGACGGTGACAGTGACAGCCACAACACAACCGCAAGCACGAATGTGACTGAACGTTTAATAACCATTCATGGTTCTTCCTCCGTGACCGTAGCCAAACTTTGAAGGTGAAATTATCTCGAGCAATGACGAGCTCTACAACGGAGACCCAACTCCAACGAAGCACCAAACAAATCGCGGCCCAAAATAGAGAGTTTCAACGATCCAGTTCCGACGGTGACGAGACCCACTTCATGATTCTGACCAAGCTTCTATCGATGTCAGGTGAAGAGAGATGTCCAAAAGCCCCGTGAGAAGCTCCGAGGAGAGAACTTCAACGGCATGCTTAGACCAGCAAGAGAAAACACGCTAACACAACAGTTTGGCAAGGACGGATCTAGAAATTCATATGAGAGGAGAGGGAGGGGGGGGGGGGGGGGGGTTTCTCCATAATTCAGTGGGGGCAATTTAAAATTTTTTTTAGGCATAAATGCAATGAAGTACAAATTTAGGGGTGTAAAATGAAATAAAAAAAATTTTCAGTCGGGGCGAATGCCCCCACTAAGCCTACAGTATGTCCGTGCCTACAGTTCGGTGATAGTCACGGCAATCAACTGTACCTATGGGTTTCAATAATAATTCGGTGACCAACCCACAAGCTTAGTCTCGTTTTCTAATCCGGTGACCTTTAAGTCGCAGTCTGGTTTAAAGCCCAATATGCTCTGACGATATATGATACAACAGTTTTGGTGAACCTATGCTACCATGACCCATTTCATGTGAGCTTCAACAGATTAAACCGGCAAACTGCTATGACCTTCATGAGCACCAATTTATATATATATATATATATATATATATATATATATATACATATGTATATATATTTAATTGATTATTGCTGGAGCTGAAACAGTGAAGAAGTCATGTTGTAGAGAAAGAAAGAGAGTGGAGAGGACATTAGGAGAGAGAAAGGAAAAAGAATTATTGGGGTATTTTAGACATTTCAATTGCTAAATTGACATAATGTCCTTATTTGCACGAACTGAAATAGTAGGGGGTTTATTGAACATTTTTCATATAGCAAGAGTGTTTCTTACCCTCAACCCTTTTTTAAAAGAGAAATGATAGAGTCTCCGAACTCAGCTTCCGAATTATCCTCCGCATCCGATATGGCCTTGCCACATTAGCCCACTACAAAATGCACTGGCGTCTTTATTCCTTTTCTTTCCTTTTGGCTTTCTCAATAAAGACACAATTTTTATAAAAATAAAAAATAAAGTTTGATGGGCCAGCAAGGATCTCCATCGTCGGCAACCGGTTCGAGTAAGGGAAGAAAATTCACATATTTAATACCTCACAGGGAAGGATTTATCGATACACTATCCAACCAACCTGCGAAGTCCTCATCGGTCACCGGCATCCTTTGGTTCCCTTTGTTTCGGGACCAGATAAATATATATATACATATATATATGAATATGTTCCTCTCCCTCCCTCATCGGATTCTGTAGCTATTTCCCCCAAATCTTCAAACCCAACAACAATCAACAACGATGAACCCTCTAGAGGCATTCGATCGTGCGAAGAGAGGATGAGAAATCCATTCCACCATTGCCACATGTTCTGCCGGACTGCCTAAAAAATCAAATTAAACTTAGGGGTTTGTTTAAAGCCCCCCAAGTTGGATGCTTGAAGATGGTGGTCGTAGTTTATATTTCGTTGGCGGGTGTTGATGGGTTCTGGATGTGGTGGGTGTCGTAGTGGAGGCCGTTACATAGTAGTTGGTGATGGAGATGGTGGTGGTAGTTGATAGGGGCATTGGTACTTCGATCGACACCACTGTACGTAGTTTCGATTACAAAGTTGACGGTTGGGAGCTGGTTGTGGTTTGCTGGAGAAGAGGGGTTCCCCGATGAGTGGTGATTGAGGTGTGTCGTTGATGATTAGATATAGAGAGAGAAATATAGAGAGAGAAATGCTAGTGCATTTTGTAGTGGGCTGATATGGCAAGGCCACGTCAGATGCGGAGGATAATTCGGAAGCTGAGGTCGGAGACTATCATTTCTCATGAAAATGTTATACTTCACGAATTTAGATTTGTGATTTTATCTTGAATTACGTGGTTGTTGACTATTTTAAAAGTAACTTTTTTAATATAGGAAATATCTTAATATAAAAAAAGAGAAAAATAGCAAAACCTTATCTTTATAGAAATCCTAATATAACTCAATATTTTGAATTCAATTATGCCTATATATCTTCGTTTGGAAAATCCTTTCTATTAAATCTTCAAATAATTAAAACTATAAGCTACAATTTTTTACATAATTCATTTTAAGTTTTTTATAATTGCATTTTGATTTGGCATTTTCTTATTACAGTTAAAATTTAAAAATACCCAACAAAGATATAGAGAAGTTGGGAGAGTATACAAGACAATATATATATATAATGAAAAATATTTGGAGAGAAAAGCAAATAGAGAGACAAACCTATTGTTCGTTCTTAACTTTTCTTTCGATTGTGCAAAAATATAAAACACACAAATGCATAAAAGAATAAAGGGTAATATGTATTAAAATAGAAGACATTAATGTCTTTTTAGTTATCGCCACATCATATTCAACATTACACATGTCGAATCTAACTTGGCGATAGAAAGACATTAGTGTTTTATATTTTAATACATATTACATTTTATTATTTTTATGCATTTTTTATTTCCTATTCTAGCAAAGTAAACCAATTGATAATTGAAGGAAAAAAAGGTAAGAAGGAACTATTCCTTCTATCTCTAATTTGCTTTTCTCTACTAATATATACTTGTATATCTATATGTGTATATATATATTGTCTTCAGCACACTCTCAACTTCTCTTATCTTTGTTGGGTATCTCTTTAAAATTTAATCATAATAAGAAAATACTAAATCAAAATACAATTAGAAAAAACTTTACGTGGATTATGTAATTAAATTAGGATTCTTATTCACGAGTAAGACGTGACTCGTTCATCATAAAAAAATTGTAACTTATGGTTCAAATTATTGAAGATTTTATAGAAAGAGTTCATGAAATGAACAAATATATACTACAGCATAATTGAATTCAAGTTATTGAGTTATATTAGGGTTTGAATTATATAATACTAAGTCTTTTTTTGTTTCTTGAATGAAGAAAATTGTTTTTAAAACAGATAAAGCAGTAAAATAAGCTACCACTAATTCAAGATATTAAATTACAAATTATATTTGAGATGTTTAACATTTTCTTTCTAATAATAGACTTAGGTGGTGTATGATTACTCAATTTAGCGTTTAAGCCCCACTTAAAATTGGGTAAAATTTTAATTCACTTATTACTTAATGCTAAAATTAAAAATTAAAAAAATATCAAAATATAAATATTTTTGAATTGTCACTTAAAATATAAATTTTATCCACGCCTTTTATAGTCACCGTTAAATTAAATCTACCAGTATCTCCCTATTGCTTGTTCATTGTGCAGGTTCAAAATCAGCAAAATCAAAGCCACTCCACTAGACATCAGGATTCGTCACTAAAAACCTTCAATACTTAAAATTCAGTTCTTAAAATTTTCAATACTTAATTTTTAATTTTGTCAAACAATATAAGGACTCCTTTGTATAATGAATTTCTAATTTGTATAATGAATTTCTAACTGTTTGTTGCTTTTCAGTCGTATGAGAAGTGAACCTGTTCTAAACATACTAAACTAACGGCAAACCCAAAACCATAAATACTTTTTCCTTATTTTATTTTCCAACTTATTTTTAGTCATTTATATAGGCGATCCATAGTAATAGGGGTGGGACATATAGATGTGTGTTGATTAAATCAGAATTGCTTGTACATTGTGCAGGTTCAAAATCAGCAAAAGCAAAGCCACTCCACTGGACATCATGTTTGAAAATAGCAGAGGACGTAGCACAAGGCCTCTCTTACATCCACCAAGCATGGCGCCTCGTCCACGGCAACCTCAAGTCCTCCAACGTCCTCCTCGGCTCTGACTTCGAAGCCTGTCTCACCGACTACTGCCTTGCCGTCCTCGTCACCTCCCCTTCCGAGGATGACCCTGACGCTGCCGCCTACAGAGCTCCCGAGACCCGTAAACCAGACCACCAAGGAACGTCCAAGTTGGACGTCTACGCATATGGCATTCTTTTGCTTGAGCTTCTAACGGGGAAGCCACCGTCACAGCACCCTTTTCTGATGCCCGACGACATGACCAGTTGGGCCAGGTCTGCCAGGGAAGATGATGGAGGGGAAGACAACCCGTCGGTTATGCTTCTTGAGGTGGCTATAGCATGCTGTGTGACGTCGCCGGAGCAAAGACCGACAATGTGGCAAGTGTTGAAGATGATACAAGAGATTAAAGAGACGATCATTATGGAGGAAGGTGAATTGGACCTAGTTACAGGGACGTCTTAGTTATCATCATATATACACATGGAAAGTGATGAAGAAGAAAACAAATGTTCTAAGCCTATTTTCATTGCTCTTCTATATTTTTGTTGTTTTTTATTGGATGATAGGCTAGTTGCATGTATTATGTAGATTATATATGTATATAGTTGAAATTTGCTTATGGTGGTAATATGGTACATGTAGCTGAAAACCTAGTAATCAAGTGGTCAGTAACTCTTGTTCAGTTATTTTTTTATTTATTGACAAAAATTCAAATTCCAATTTCACCCTATGGGATAAGCAGAAGAGGTGCTAATTTTTGGCCACTTGGCCTTTCTCTAATGTTACTCACACCCACCTCGATAAGTTTCTCTGGCCACTTTAAATTACATTATTGCACATTGACTTCTTAATTGATTTATTTGAAGTATGAATTATTTGTTGTGAATTTAAAAGAAAATATATAACATAAAACTATATCTGCAATATTGAGAGAAGAATGTAGATAGAGGGAGAGAGATCTTATTATATTCTCTTAAATTCAAGTACATCGATATAACAATGAACAATCCGTATTTATAGCCAAACTTTAATCAACATCCTTAATGCACCATTAACCAAGTGCATTTACCTCTTATTTATTGCACTGCATTTAACTCTTATTTATTGCACTATTAATTCAACACTATATAATTAGTGGACACCATATATATAACACTTCCCCTTGGAATCCACTACATAACACTAAGAAGATGCCTCGTTAAAATCTTGCTAAGAAAAACCAGTAGGATAAAAACTTAGCGAAGAGAAAAAGAGTACAATCTTCTTGTGTATATGAAAATGGTATTGTATAGGTTAAAACTATCGCATTAAAACCTTGTGTGGAAAACCCAGTGGGACAAAATCTGAGCGAAGGAAAAAAAGTACAGTATGCCAATACCTTTTCAATTTGGTGCTCTCCCTTATTGTTGCATTAGTTCAACACTAAAAGTCCTTGAGTTAACGCATTCCAATATTATATACCAACCTTTTGACGGCGTAGTTGGCAGTGCTTTAGTGAACATGTCTGCTAAATTTTCATTTGAATATATCTGTTGAATTTCAATATCACCATTCTTTTGACATTCATATGTATAAAAGAATTTTGGTGAGATGTGCTTGGTCGTGTCACTTTTGATATAACCCTCTTTCATCTTTGCAATACATGCAGCATTATCTTCATATAATACTGTTGGGCTATCTTTTATTGATGAGAGACCACATATTGTTCAAATATGCTGGATTATAGATCTCAACCAAATGCATTCTTTACATGCCTTACGAATTACGAGTATCTTTGAATGATTTGAAGAAGTTGCAATCATTGTTTGTTTTATAGATTGCCATGATATAGTGGTGCCACAACAGGTAAACATATATCCTATTTGTGAATAAGCTTTATGTAGATAAGAGAGATAGCCAGCATCTGCATATCCAATTAACTGGGATTCTTTTGAATAAAATAATCTCATATCAATTGTACTACGAATATATCGTAATATATGCTTGATTCCATTCCAATGTCTACGGGTTGGTGCAGAACTGTATCTTGCTAATAAATTGACTGAAAAATGCTATGTCCAGCCATGTGCAATTTGCAAGATACATAAGAGCACCAATTGCACTGAGATATGGCATTTTAGAACCAAGGAGTGCTTTATCATCCTCTCGAGGACGAAAATAATCTCTTTTGATGTCAAGTGATCGGACAACCATTGGGGAGCTCAATGGGTGCGCTTTATCTATATAGAATCGCTTCAAAATCTTTTCTGTATATGTTGACTGGTGGACGAGGATTCCACTTGATAAATGTTCAATCTGCAGACTAAGACAAAATTTTGTTTTTCCGAGATTTTTCATCTCAAATTCTTTCTTTAAATAAATGGTTGTCTTTTCTATGTCATCCAATGTTCCCACAATATTCAGATCATCAACATATACTGCAATAATAGCAAAACCATATCTTGACTTGTTAATAAAAATGCATGGACAAATATAATTATTCACATACCCTTCTTTTATCAAGTTCTCGTTAAGACGATTGTACCACATGTGCCCAGATTGTTTCAATCCATATAAGAATCGTTGTAATTTAATCGAGTATACATTACATGGTTTTGTTTCAGGCATTTGAAATCCTTCTGGGATTTTCATATAAATATCGCTTTCCAGTGATCCATATAAATATGCCGTTACCACGTCCATTAGATGCATATGCAATTTTTCTTTGACTGCCAAATGTATTATGAATCGAAAAGTAGTTGCATCCATCACAGGAGAGTATGTTTCATTGTAATCAATACTAGGTCTCTGTGAGAAACCTTGAGCTACCTGTCAGGCTTTATATCTTATAATTTCATTTTTTTCATTATGTTTTCATACAAATACCCATTTGTACTCAACAGGCTTTACACCCTCAGGTGTTTGGACTACAGATCCAAATACTTCACGTTTAGCTAATGAATTTAACTCTGCCTGTATTGCTTCTTTCCATTTTGGCCAATCATTTCTCGGTCGACTTTCTTCGACATTTTTATTTTTAGGTTCCGGATCCTCATTGTTTATATGAAGAGCAATTGTTTATGAGAATATGTTGTCCCTGACAACTTCATTTATGTTCCATCTCTTCTAATAATTTATTGAGATCTCATTCATTTTCAGGTACCTTTGCAATATTATTATAGTTAGCTAACTTGACCTCGTCAGGTCCCTTTGCCACCTCAAGGGCATGCATTTTATTAACGACAACTTTATCATTGTTAGCTAATTAGGTTTCTTCAAGAGTACCCTTTTCATCATTCATCATGCTCTTTGACATTTGCCTCATTGTATCACTTTTAGATAACTGGGTCTCTATAAGAGCACCCATTTCATCATGCTCTTTTGCATGTACCACATTAAGTGTCCTGCCTCATCAAGGGCTACTTTAGCATTATTAGCTAATTGGCCTCATCAAGAGCGCCTATTTTATTATGCATTATTTCTAGTATTTTTCACTTTCGTAGAACATAATCTTTTGCACCGATTGGTATGTCACGCATACTTTTGATGCATTTGCAACACTGACAATATGTCCTATCAGAACTTTAATTATTCCTGACATTTTATCAACTAGCATGTATGATGATATTTCTCTATGTTAGTGAGTGTTTGCAACATTTTTGAAAATGATCCTTTGAACTTCTTGTTCATATTTCTTTGTACAAGGATCAAATATATAATTTCAAAAGTATTCCAAGTAATATCATTTGGCATTTCTGATCTTACCCTTCTCCCCCTCAAGGTGGGAAAATAATCTTATTTGAATGATAATCAACACATCGCGCAATAAAGCCAACTTATGTCTGGGGATTAATATATTTCATAAGCAAATAATAGAAGAATTTACTGTGAATATAAAATAAATAAACATGCTTTTGGTGATATAATAATATGCATAAGAAAATAAAGTTTTTCTATTATATATTTCTTAATGGAAGTGAGACAGATATATTCTACGTTACCTTTATTTTGTTACGGAAAATATTTTCAATAACGAAGGATTGATGGTCTTATTGTCCATAAGACATATATCCTTACCTTGAGTTAATGTAATTTTGTGCAAGTCCTTACCTGCAAACTTCATTTTAACTTTGACATAAAAAAATAAAACATGCTTCATAAAAGGAAGTATAAATAAGCAGTGTGGATGTACTAATCAAAAGATGAGTTACCTCATAAAAGTTGAAATATCCACAAGCATCATATAAAATTCATTTATATCTTTGTCCCATTTTCTTAGATTGTGACTTGGTAAAGATTAATTAAATGCTTTGAAGCATACGGTAAGAATCAAATAAATACTTTAGAAGCATATTGTGCAACCTTTTCCTCTTCGATGTTACACTGATAATAAGTAATTTTACGTTGATCAAATTTTCATCGACATACTGATCAATTTCACATTGATAACAAGGAACACATGCTATAGAGGTTGAGGCAAATTCTCCCCCTTTGCTTGTTTCATATTATTGTGGTCCCACCTTTAGGGATACAATATGAAATTATAGTGATAACCTCCGTGGCGTTGGTAGTTAATTCTACCATGACTATACCCACGACCATGGACACCGTGAAATGAGTAGATTTCTCTTTAGAAATCGTTTTCGATCTAGTGATACTGGTAATATCTCATTAAAAGCTCATTATTTTACTCTATCACAATGATATCAGCTTTACATAAATCCATGCATTCAACTTGATCAGTGGAGTATCTCTTTGTCAATATATGACTTTCAGTAATATTTACTCTACATCAAGAATTTCATAAATCTACGCCCTGGCGTGATAAGTGTATGATATATTCTTTTCAACATATACTCATGAGTAATTATTTCTCCACATTATCTCAATATAGTTGATTATCAACAAGGCCGAATTATATTCTCCAATAATTTCATAATCCTGCAACCATAGTTGTATCCATTCATACTGAGCTTTTTAGAAAGATCACAATACTCTGTGATTTTTACCATAAGATAAGTGGGTCTTATACCGTGAGATATTTAATTTTCAAGTTATCATGAATCATTACTTTTGTGCAGTCCTATAAGGACTCTTGATTTCTCAATTTATTTGTAATCTCAATATCATAAAATGTATCTCAAAAAAATAATTATGCCCACAATATTATCAAGCCTTTGTCATGTAACAAAACATTTTCTAAATTTGAATGAATCATAAAAAAACACTCAATAAATTATTAAACAAAATGTGGTAAAACCTTACCTGAATTAATGAAATAGTAATGATAGTAAAATTGGTCATAGAGCAATAAGACAGTAAAAACCAACCTTATTGATTATGTACGCAAATAATATATATATATATATATATATGCTTAGTTGATTGTTATATTATATAAGTAAGCTGTTAATAATGAAAACGTTATAATTGATCAAACAATATATGATTCATTAGGGATAACTAAAATATTATTCATTAAAGATCAATATATAAACGAATTGTTTGAGTAAACACCACTTGCAATATACGCATATTGATCTATATATATAAATATATATGATAAGGTGGGTCTTTATGTTAGCCACTTAGATTATTTTATATATCACATATGAAACGTATACATATATAATTCATGACTAGTAATAATAACTCTACTTATACATGCCTCATACAATTATATGGACAATGCACTAAACATATTAATAGGGAGTGAATCCCATATATATCTATAACAACTA